GTATATGTAGGTCTTTGCTGATGTCTGCAGGACTTTGCTGCCGTCCGCTGGTGTATGCTGGTCTTTTTTGGTCCCTGGTGGACTTCTGTGGTCTCTGCTGTTCTATGCTCTTTTTTGTGTCACATCAGCGCAACGCGGAACGAAGGATGAGACCACCCCGAAAGGTGTGAGGGGAGACTGAACAATTGCGTCCCGCAAGCGCGCAGCTGCGACTAAGCCTGCCGAGCGTCTAATGAACGCCATGGCGAACCCAAGGATGAGGACGAGGAGGAGACGAGAACAGCCAGTGACGCCGTGCGTGCATCGATCCCCAAATGGTCCCGTCGACCACTTATCTGGTGAGGCCTGACACAGCGGCTCAATCCAGGGAGGCGCGCAGCGCAAACTGACTCAAAGCCCGCGCGGCGCCATCTCGGATATACATGTCCACAACATTCGATCAGTACAGGAGCGGCAGCGGGAGGAGGAACGAGGACAACGAGCGAGAAAGGAGGAGAGGAGACGACACAAGACGGGGCTAACCCATCAGCATGCTAGGCACGCTGGGCGCGAGCACTCGCCCACGAGTCTGAACCGAAACTCGGGACAAACACGTTGAAAAAAGGTGCCGCCCAGCCCTGGCACCCCGTCGCGCGGTGGGCACGCAGGCCATGAAACGGCAGGCAGGGCGAGTCCAGTAGGAAGGCACCAACTGTACACCAACACCGATGCTGGCCAGGATCACCCTGGGCTCAGGATCGGTGTATACGCCCTTCTGCCTTGGGCAAGAAGGCATATACACTGATCCTGGGCCCAGGGTGATCCTGGGCCAGGATCGGTGTTGGTGTATAGTTGGTGCCCTCCGATCCAGAGCACTGGAGCCCCGAGGTCGGCCGATCGCGGTCGCAAGGCCGACGGCGCGCGCCGCGCACGCATGCCATCGGCGAGAACCGCCAAAGCCCTTGGTGGGGGGACAGGGGGAGGACGCAGAGGAGGATCATCGCACCGACGACCGCACGACGGCACAGCGCCACGTCTTGCGAGTGGCCGAGTCAGACCTGCAACAAATCGACGGGCAGCCGTCCCCCCAACCGGGCGACACGCTGGCGTCCACCCAGCCGCCATGACAAACTCAGGCCCCCCCCACCCCCCGCGGGGGGCCACAGACCCAAGGGGGAGCAAAGAAGCGCCCCCCGCCGAGGAGAGGGGCGAGGGCAAGCGGTGGGGCCAGGGCGGGAAGGGGGCGGAGAGGTCCCACGCACCCCCAGAAGCGCGGGGCCCCCAGGGGGGAGCGCGTGGCTGGCGCCAAGGCTGCCAACCGCGACGACGGACCGCCATATACCGCTATGGCTACGTGGAAGAGGATGGGAGCCCTCCAGAGAATCCAAGACAACCCCGACGCAGAAGCGACGCCCCAGAGGACACAATTGAGAGCCCCAAGCGTCCAGGGGCTGCACTGGCAGCTGCGACTGCGGGTGCTCGGGTGGACACCCGGTGGACCGCAGCGTGCCGCTGGTACTGCGCACGAGCGAAAGTCCGCGTCGAGGGCAAAGAGCTCCCTCCTGCCATCGGAGTCGTACAGCAGGTGCCCGTGGTGCTGCTCAGTGCCCGTCCTGCTGGGATATGACGTGCTGCGCGTGCCGCTGCTCCCCAGTGTGTTACGAGACGTCATGCGTCTCGTCGCCCTCGCTCTAAGCACAGTCGAGCTGCACTCCGCACTGCACGACCAATTCCATGAATAACCACGTAAACTGTCAAGCGCATCAGGCCATCCGTCATCAACTCGAAGAGTCTCGGGCCCACCAGGTCGAAACTGGCAGCCCGCAGCGCACGCCACTCGCCCCGCAATTGGCAAGGTGGTGTGCTCTCTCGTTCGAGAGCGAGATGGCGTCGGTGCTGGCGTCGGCGCTGACGTAACAAGCGCTGGCGTTCATGCTGGCGTCGGTACTGCTGTTGGGCCGGCGTAGTCGCCGGCGGTGGTGCTGGCGTAGCTGCTTACGTCAGCGCTGGTGAAGGCGTTGGCGTTCGTGCTGGCATAGGAGCTGGCGTTGGGCTGGCGTCGGTGCTGGCGTCGGTGCTGGTGGAGGGCTGGCGCTGGTGCTGGCGTCGGTGCTGGTGCAGAGGCTGGCACTGGTGCCAGCGTGGGCGCTGGCGTGTTGGCTTTGGAACTGGCGTCGGCGCTGGGTGTAGGCGATGGCGTTGGTGCCAGCGTAGGCGCATACGTTGACGCTGGCGTCGGCGCTGGCGTGAACGCCGGCGTTGGTGCTGGTGCAGGAGCTGGCGTTGGTGCTGGCGTAGACGCCAGCATTGATGCTGGCGTCGGTTCTATCGTCGGCCTAGCGTAGGCGCTAGCGTTGGGGCTGTCGTCGGTGCCAGCGTCGGTGCAGGTGTAGACGCTGGTGTTTGTGCCGTCGAAGACGCTGGCGTTGGTGCTGGCGTAGATGCTGGCGTCAGCGCAGATGTAGGCGATGGCGTTGGTGCGCACGTAGGCGCAGTCGTTGGTGCTGGAGTCGGTGCTGGCGTCGGCGCAGGCGTAGGCGCTGGCGTTGGTACTGGCGTCAATGATGGTGCAATGGGCGCTGGCGTTTGGTGCCGGCGTAGGCGCAGGCACTGGTGCTGGCGTCAGTGCTGGCGTAGGCGCTGGTATAGGCGATGGGGTTGGTGCCCGCGTAGGCGCAGGCGTTCATGCAGGCGTCGGTGCTGGTGTCGGCACTGGCATAGGCGCCGGCGACAGTGCTGCCGTCGCTGCAGGTGTAGGCGCTGGCGTTGGTGCCAGCGTGAGCGCAAGCGTTGGTGCTGGCGCGGGTGCTAGCAATGGCGCGGGTGCTAGTGTAGACGCTGGCGTTGGTGCTGGCGTAGACGCAGCGTTGGTGCTGGCATCGGTGCTAGCGTCGGCGCTCATGTAGACGCTGGTATGCTGCCGACGAGGGCACAGGCGTTGGGGCAGTCTTCATTACTGCTGTAGGCGCAGGTACTTGTGCTGGCGAAGACGCTGGCGTTGGTGCTGATGTCAGTACTGACGTCGGCGCCAGTGTAGACGATGGCGTTGGTGCCCGCGCAGGCGCAGGCAATGGTGCTGGCGTCGGTGCTGGCGTCGTTGCAGGCGTAGGCGCCGGCGTCGATGCTGACGCCCGAGTCTGGTGTAGGCGCTGGCGTCAACGCTGGCGGTGATTCTGGCTTCGGTGCTTCCGTCGGCGACGGCGTAGGCGTCGGCGTTGGTGCTGGCGTCGGTGCAGGCGCCGGCGCTAATGCGCTGGCGTTGATGCTGGCGTAAACACTGGGTGTTGGCGACGGCGTTTGAGCCCGCATAGGCGCAAGCGTAGACGCTGGCGTCGGAGATGGCGTCGGCGCTGGCGTAAACGCTGGCGTGGTGGTGCCCGCCAGTCTATGCCAGTCGCTTCTGGTGTATGCTGGTGCACGCTGGTGTCTGCTGGGCTCTGCTGGTCTACGCTGCTCTCTGCTGGTGACTGCCGGTTCATGCTGGCCTCTACTGGTGTATACTGATCTCTGCTGGTACCTGCTGGTCTCAGCTGGACTCTGCTGGTATATGCTGGTCTCTGCTGATGCATGCTGGTGTCTGCTGATCACTGCTGGTCTCAGCTGGTCTCTGCTGGTGCCTGCTGGTCGATGCTGGTGTCTCATGGTCTACGACGATCCTTGCTGGTGTACGCTGGTGTATGCTGGCGTCGACTGGTCTCTGCTGATTCTGCTCGTCTCTGCTGGTCTCTGCTGATCTCTGTTGGTGTCTACCAAGTTATGCTGGTCTCTGCTCGTCTCTGCCAGTCTATGCAGCTCTCTGCTGGCGTCTGGTGGTCTCTGCAGGACTCTCTTGGTCTCTGCTGGACTATGTTGGTGTATGCTCGTGTATGCTAGAAGACGCGCCGCTGGATAACCCTGGGGGGGGGGGATTCCCCCCCCCTCGCCCCCCTTTCCCCGATCCGTCGTCGAGGACCCCCCCCACCCCCCACACCTTTCCCGGTCCATCGTCGGGAAACCCTCCCACCCACCCCCACCCTTTCCCGGTCCGTCGTCGGGAGCCCCCCCCCTTTTCAAGGGAGGGGGGTCCGACCCCCCTCCCCCCTTGGGTTCGAAATTGGACCCCCCCCCCTCCCCCCCTTTCGCCACGCCGCCCCCTGACTTCCAAACCCGCCGACCCTACCACCCGTAACCCTAATCCTCACCCGAACCCCAGACCCTAAACCCAACCCCTGACCCTAGCCCAAAACAGTACTCGATACTCACTACTCACTACACATTACCCACTACACACTACTCACTGTTTCCTAATCCCTACTCCCTACTCCCTACTCCCTACTCGCTACTCTATACTCACTACTCACTACTCACAACGCACTACTCATTGCCCAAAATTCACGATTCACTATTCACTACTGACTAAACATTATCCACTATTCACTACTCATTTCTCCCTACTGACTACTCACTACACATTACCCAATACTCACTAGTCACTACTCTCGACTCGCTACTCCGCTATTCACTACTCACTACTCGCTACTCCCTACTCGGTACTCGCTACTCAATACGCACTACTCACCACCCGCTACTCACTGCTCACTACTCACTACTCACTACTCCCTATCCCTACTCCCTACTCCCTACACATTACTCACTACTCACTACGAATTACTCACTACTCATTACTCACTACTCACTATTCAATACTTACTAATCGCTACTCTCTGTTCGCTACTCGCTACTCAATACTGCGCACTCACCACCCACTACTTACTACTCACTACGCACAACCCACTACTCACTACTCACCACCGACTACTCACTGCCCACTACTCACCACTCATTACTCAGTACTCACTGCTGATTACTCACTACTCGCTACTCCCAGTACCCACTACTACTCACTACTCACTGCGCGCTACTTTCCACTCACTACTCACAACTCACCACGCGCTACTCACTACTCAGTATTCCCTACTCCATACTCCCTACCCACCTTCTCCGGCGCAGAAAAGAGCAGCGGGAGAGGCCCCCTCCCCGGCTCTCTGTCCGGCGCCAAGGGGGGGGGAGAGGGGGGGGGGTTCGAACCTTCCCCCCCTCACTTTCCAGCGCCAAATGGAAGCGGGGGGGTGTCCGGAACCTCACCCCACCCCCTCAAGGGACGGGGGGGGTCGGACCCTCCCCCTCCCCTTAAGGGGGGGAGGGGGTTGTCCGAAAATCTACCCCCCCCTCTGAAGGGGGGGGGTTCTGAACCCCCTCCCCCTTTCAATTACAGGGTGATTCAGTGGCGCGCTTTCCTAATGTCTGCTGGTGCCTGATGGTGCCTGCTGGCCTTAGCCAGTCTCTTCTGGGGTTTGCTATGTAGTCTGTCCTGGTCTCTTCTATCTGGTGCCTGCTGGTGCTCTCTGCCGGCCCATGTTTCTCTCTGCTGTTGCCTGGTGGTCTTTGCTGGCGTGTGCTGTCTATGTTGCTGTCTGCTGGTCTCTTCTGGAGTCTGCTGGTCTCTGCTGGTGTCTGCTGGTGGCTGCTGGTATGTTGAGCTCCCTGATGGTGTAAGCTAGTCTCTGCTGGTCTATATATATAATGATTTCTGATCTCTGCTTCTAGTCCCTGCTGGTCTCTGCTGGATTATGCTTATGTCCGCTGTTCTACGCTGTTCTATGCTGGTCTCTCAGTCTCTGTTGGACTATTATTGTCGTTGCTGGTGTCAGGTGGCGTTTGCTGCTCTCAATTTTGTCTCTGCTGATCTCTGCTGGTCTATACTAGTGTCTGCTAGTCAATGCTGTTGTCTGCTGGTCTCGGCTGGACTCTGCAAGTCTCCGCCGGTCTCTGCCGGCGTCTCTTGATCTCTGCTTGTCTCTTCTGGTCCCTGCTGGATCACGATGATTATGGGTCTCTGCACGGAAAGAAATCGGGAATGCCCAAACCAGGATTCTCTTGAGATGTTCTTACAAACTGGCCGAAAACGGGCAAGTGACACACCCTGGCGGCTCACGTTGGGGTGCCCCAGTGGTACGCCACCTGCATCGCGGATATGAGTTTGCTCTGACAGGACATGGGTTGGAAGTGTTAAGTCGGGCGTGTCCCCCTACAGGGCGATTGTCGAAAAATAGGAAATACTCAAAAAATACCCCCCCGATGGGCAAAAATAGCATTTAAAAAAATGTCCCCAGACTATTTCTGGACTATTTTTGAATATTCCCCCTGTAGAGGGACACGCCCGACTTAATGGAAGTGCAACCAAGCGCATCGCTCGAGAGGTCCCCAACATCTGAGCGCGAATGGGCACGTGCAGACCCCCTTCTGGCGGCTCCCCATTGGGGCGCCCGAGTACTAGGCTTGGCAAACTGCGGTGGGGCTCTGAATGAGGAGGCGAAAACCCACGAGAAAACCCACCCCCACCCCCAGTCCCGACCCCCTGGATCGCGGGCTCGGGGGTGGGCGTCGGGACTGGGGGTGGGGGTGGGTTGTCGCCTTCTCACTGAATAAGCAGAAGCCTGGGGTTTCAAACCAAGCGCTTCACTTAAGACGTCCCCACAATGTTGCCGAGAACGGGCCAACGTAACACACCCTTGCGGCTTCCAGTGGAGTGCCCAAGCGGTATGCCTCGGACATCGGTGATCATGGGGATGTGACAGGAGAGAAGTCGGAAGTGCAACACAAAGGCCCCGATCGAGACATCCCGGAAATCTAAGCGCGAACGGGCAAGTGTAACACGCCCTGGCGGATCGCCCTTGTGATACCCAAATGCCACCCCGACCCCATCGCGGTGATCACGGGGTGCTCGAGGCAGAGGAGTCGGGGACTGAGCGTGAGTGACTTTGAGCGTGAGTGGTTTTGAGTGTGTGGTACCGAGTGCGAGTAAGTCTGAGTGAGTCTTAGTATGAGTGAGTCTGAGTGCGAGTGAGTCTGAATATACGTGGTCTGAGTATGAATGGATCTGAGTGCGACCGGCCTCGGCCTGGGTATGAGTGAGTCTGGGTATGAGAAGAAATCTGAGCATCCCTGGGTCTGAGCGTAGGAGAGAGAAGCCGTGAGTGAGAATGAGGCGGACAGGTCCAACTCATAGCAATAACTCCATGTCAGGATATGGGAAGACGCACGCTCGTCGTGAGATCTTCACGGACTGGAGATCTGGCCCGCCGTGCTCAAATCTAAAACCACATCCTGGGCCATTCCTGGAGCGCGTGCTGACCAGGATCTCGAGGCTGATACAGCCGTGGCGGCGACGAGGGCCCCCCCCTGGAGGCCCAAAAAGGGCGAATCATTTCAAGATCCCATCTTTCAGTGCCTCCTCCTCCAATAATATCATCTGCTCTTTCAAAGTATCAGGGAGGCCTGCAATATCATCTGCTCTTTGTCCCGCTCTCTTTCAATCAGCATGTCGAGCATCTCCTTCTCGCGGGCCTTCTTCTCGCGCGCCTACGCGGGGTCGTCTGCACGCCAGATCGGGGCACAAGAACCCAACTTGCGCGACTCCCCCCATGGGTTTCCTCCCGTCCTTCCGTCGTCGTCGTCCTCCTCCTCCTCCTCCATCCTCATCCTCCTGCTCCTCCCCTCCATTTCGATGAGCGGCAACGTGACGATGGCAATCACAAAATACACATCATTGTTGTTTCAATGCTGCTGCGACAAACTCGTGTCCGAATGCTGGAGTGAGGATCGTCCCGCTCTCCGCCAGAATCTGATTCACTTTTATCACGGACGGCTGTGGCCACGGTGCCGCTTCACGAAGCAAACAAGCCATCGCAACACAAACGTTCAGAATCAAACTAGTTCCAGCTCCCGCCATCACTCCAGTCCTCCCTCCCTCTCCACCCCCTCTCCACTTCCCTCCCTCCCTCCACCTCTTCCCCCCTCCCTTCTCCAATCCGTCGTCCTCCTCCTTCTCCTCCCACGTCCCTCCTCGCCCGCCCCTCTTCGTTCTGACTCCTCCCTGTCGCACCCACAGAGGTGTCGGTAGGGCGGGCCGGGCGTTTCACCCGAGACCGCGTCACCATTTCGGATTTGATGCTTGAGATTTGCAGCAGCTTCAAAAGTGGAGGGCGGGTGGTTTTCAAAGTGTACGCATCGCCTTCGCGCCCAGCACATTCATCTTCAAAACTCTGCGGCCGCTTCACGGGAGGAGGGCGGCTCCTTTTCAAAATGTGGATCTCGCCTTAGCGCCGCGCGCATTATTTTGAGAAGTTTGTAGCCGTTTGAGGATTCGCAAGTCCCAGGAATATTGTTCTGGCGCGATTTCGAACTGCCAGGACGCAGCAGTCACGTTGATTCGCGGTGTCCAATGCACAAGATCTGCTTTCTGGCACGATTTAGGATTGTCAGGATGCAACAGTCACGTGGATTCGCGGTGTTGAAGCCCCTGGACCCTGGACTGGTGTTCTGGCACGACATGGGATTGTCAGGACTCAACAGTCACGTTGATTCGCGGCGTTGAAGTCCCAGGAATGGTTTTTGGCACGATCGGGGGTTCTAAGGCGGTTGTCTTTCAACAAGGCTTCCCGAAGCAGCTTCTTGCAGGGACCTATAAAAAGAATTTGGAGGGAGAGTTGATTGTAACATCGTTGTTGCGCCGTGGGTTCACACGTGGTCCTCCTCCTCCTCCTCCTCCTCCTCCTCCTCCTCCTCCTCCTCCTCCCTCCGAGGTGCACTTAACTAAAGTTATCCTAATGTTTCTCCTGTTCATGAGAAGGAAGGGGAGGGAGAGAAGGAGGGGGAGGGAGAGAAGGAGGGGGAGGGCGAGGGCGAGGGGGAGGGCGGGGGGGAGCCTTCAACGGCGCGGAGGCGCCGGGCCCCGCCGAAAGAGAGGGAGAGGGCACACCCCTCCCTCGTTCCTCGGTCCTCCGGAGCCCAGGGCCAAGCCGGACCCCCGCCACCCACGCACGCAGGAGCCCGAGAGGAGACCGCGCCCGCCTCGGCCCGCCGAGCGCTGGAGGCCCGGCGCCCCGCTGCTCGCCCGAAGGGGTGGCCGACGGGGCCGCGGCTGTCGTCGCGGGAAAGCCGACGGAGCCGCCGGCGGGCCCTCGGGGCGTCGCCGGATCCTCGGACCACCTGTCGGATACCCCGGACCGGCCACGCGCCGGATACCCCCCCCGCCCATCGAGCTCTGCGCGCGCCTCCAGAGTTCGTCAGAAAGGGAGGGGGGTCTCATTTCGGGGGGGGTCTCTTCCAGGCTATCTTGGAGGGCCTGGGGGGTCTGGGGACGATGTTTTGGAGGGTTCTCCCACGGGGGAGGTCTGAAATGGCTTGTCTTGGAGGGTCCAGACCCCCTCCCTTTTATTACGAACTCTGGAGTAAGGAACGAGCGGGCTTCTCCGGCCACGGCGGTCCCGGGCCACAGGCAGGCTCCTCGGCGCGGGTCCGAGGAGCGGCCTGGGCGTCCGAGCCCCTCGGGAGCCCAGCGTGGTCCTCGTCTCGGCCTCTTGGCTGCAGGTCACCGGACTTCGCGCCTCGTGCCCCGCGAGGCGCGGCGCACGATCCTCCTCGCGCCCTCGCGCCCCCGCGCCGCCCCCGCGGAGGTGGGCAACCGCTCTGGCCCGGGCCGCGACCCGCGAAGCGCGATGCTCCTCGCGCCCCCGCGGGTTGCCTGGATCCCGGATACTCTTTGGGCCTGCGGAGGCGGCGGCCGAGCCAGCGCGTGGAAGCCCGTTGCTGGGCAGCGTTCTGCTGTTTCACTCTGTCCGTTTGCACTGCTGCCGATGCGCCGCCATGGCACGGCCTCTGAACCGACCTGGAGTTGCTTTTCTGCGCTGTCGCGTATCGGAGCGAGCCAGCCGACGCCGATTCAACTATTCGCGCCTTGCCGGATCCTCATCGGAACCTGAAAGCTTTAGAATCGAATCCGAAGATCCCCTATGACACACACACACACACACACAATTTTCTGCTCGAGTCGAGACTAGCCCAGGCCTGATCCTCTTTCTTCTTCAGCCACTCTTTCAAGGCCTCCGCTTTCTTTGACTTCCGCTCCTCCTCCATCGCCTCCGCCTCGGCGCGGAACTGCTTCAGCTTCTCCTCCCTGCTTGTGCCAGTCTGCTTGGGCCTTTCCTTGGCCCTCTCCTCTATCTTGCGCAGGCGAGCCTCCCTATCCAAGCGGATGTCCTCCAGAATGGCCTCCTTCTCCCGCTCCTTCAGCTGCGATACGCCGGCAACGTGGCGCTTCGAGAACCTTGGGAGGGAGCCTGTTAATTCGCCTGCACCAGCCCTGGCCAGGCCAGTTCTGGGCCTGGCATCGGTGTCCACAACTCCCCTGCGTGGCCAGGAGGGCGTGTCTCAAGGGGCCCAGGGACACACAAATAAGTAGTCCCCCATATTTTCTCCATACTTCCTTGCCACTTACCATACGGCCGCACCTAGGACAAGAACATGATACCCTCCACTGGCCAAAACACCCCAAGCCATAAGATCACTCGGGGGTGCCCTCCCCCAGGATGCACAAGAACATCCAACAAGCACGAAGAACACCAGGGCACCCTTCCCGAGCCGACGTCGACCTTGTACCTCGGTCCGACGGTGACTGGAACCATCGGCCGCACGTGGAGAAGCAGTGGGCGTCTTTCGGACCGGTTTCCCCAGATCACCAGGCCTCGCGCATCGCGCCCCGCCGTGCACGACGCGCGGCCCTCTTCGCGCCCTCGCACCGCCGCTCCGCGGAGTGGCAGCCGCTCTGGCCCGAGCCGCGGCGCGCGGAGCGCGACTGCATGTTCGCGCCCCCGCGGGGCGACCTCGCTTTCAAATTTCGGGCAGGCTTCGGGGACACGGCTCGGGACCCCGGGACCACCCGTGGGCTCCTCGAAGAGGCTCTCGACGGGGCAGAGGCGGACGGAAAAGGCACGCCCAGGGGCGCGAAAGACGCACAGGAGCCCCTCCAATCCCCCGAGAACCTCCTGAGCTAGAACAAGAACATAGGACGAAGCCAGAACGAAGATAAATTTGGGTGAGGAATTACATCGAGACTCTCTGAGATCCGGCGGCTGTGGAGCATGTCTCGGGTGCCGCGGGCTCCTGGAACGGATTTATCCGAGTCTAGCCACGTCCGAAAAACCTCCAAAGCTACAGTCGGGGGGATGACCTAAGAAACCCTAAATGAGGAACGCGGCCACATTTTTCCCCACGTTGAACTTCGATTTCCTCTACAAACCCGAGGAAAACATGCGGCAAACTGTGAAACAATCAAGGGACATCGAGCCCCTCCCCAACGAAAAGGGTTCCTTCTTCAGCGCGCCCGCTGTAGAGAACGAGCGTCCGAAGGCGGTGCTTCCTCCGGACTCCCAACTTGGGAGCCGGCAGCCGCTCGACATCGGTCCCAGGACCCCTCCCAGAGTCCATCCCGGCCTCCCTCCTCTTCCGCTCCCTCCTGCTCCTCCTGCTCCTCCTGCTCCTGCTCCTGCTCCTCCTCCTCCTCCTCCTCCTCCTCCTCCTCCTCCTCCTCCTCCCCCTCCTCCCCCTCCTGCTCCTCCTTCTCCTCCTGCTCCTCCTCCTCCTCCCTTCCTCGCTCCCTCCCCCTGACCCTCCCGCGGATCGAGACGTGGCACTCCTGGAAGGGCCCGAGGCGGGCTGGTCCAGGCGCCGAAAGCGCGAAGACGAGCTTCGATCCTCGTGCCCGCGCGGCCTGCCGTTGACGAGGACGCCGCCGTACGACTTGCGGCACAGCCCAGCCAGGTCCTCGCCCTTGGGCTCGGTTCCGCCCGCCGCCGCCGCCGCCTGCGGGGTCTCGTCACCCGCCAGGCTGGCGCCGGACGACGCCTTCCGCAGCTCGCCCGCCTGCAGTCGCGAGGGAGCGGGGGGGGGGCAGGAACTCAGAACAGGAGGAGGACAGGGGCGTCTCCAAGAGGCGACGACGACGACGACGACGACGACGAAAGGAGGTGGCGAAGAAAATGAGTAGGAGAGGAGGCAATGTCGGTACGTCCCCCATGCCATTATCAACGGATCAGGAGCAGGAGGAGGAGGAGGAGGAGGAGGAGGAGGAGGAGGAGGAGGAGGAGGAGAAGATGGGGGAAGAAGAGGAGGAGGAGGAGACGGAGGAGGAAGAGGAGGAGGAGGAGGACCAGCGTAAACCCAAGATTCATCAACGATATTGCAGTAGACCCTCCATCAAAATTCCCTCTTCACAGGCCCCTATGAAGACTCATTCTCACTCAAAAGGTGCCCCTTTGGAAGACAACCGATTGGAAATCCGGAACTATGCCAGAATACCTTTCCTGGGACTTCAACGCCGCGATAACCAGTGTTGTTGCGTCTTGACAATCCTGAATCGCGTCAGAGGGCCATTCCTGGGACCAACACCGCGAATCGCCATGACTGTTGCGCCCTGAAATTCTGACATTGTGCCAAAACACCGTTGAAGGGGAAGTTAAAACCATGAGAACCCTTGAAACTGCTGTAAACTCTTAAGACGAATGTACGCGGTGCGAAGGCGAGAACCACATGTTGACAAGGAACAGCCCTCAGTCCGCGAAACTCTTGCAAAATTTTAAAGCGAATGTGCGCGGCGCTCAGGCGAGAGCCACAGTTTGAAAACCACCCGCCCTCCATCAGTGGAACTGCTGCAAATATGAAGCTTCAGGATCAGAAATAAAGAAGAAATTTCAAGCAAACCTCCAGGCCCGCCCTTTCGACCGGCCTTGGGGTTTCGACAGGCCCTTTCGACCGGCCTTGGCCATGGAAGAGGAGGAGGAACAGGAGGAGGGGGAGGAGGAGGAGGAGGAGGAGGAGGAGGAAGAGGAGGACGACGGAGGAAGAAATACCCGCTCTGGCCTCCAATCCTGGGGCGCGTCCTGACCAGGCTTTCTGGCCATGTCCAGCCGCGGCAGTGGAGGCGCCCCAGGAAGCGCAGGAAGGACAGAAGCATTCCAAAAACCTCGATCCTCGGACCACCCCCTGGGGCTCTCTGAACATCTCCGTGGAGGTCTCTGGAAATCCCCCGAGGTCCTCCTGGGTCCCCCGAGGCCTCGGGAGGACTTTCGAGGCGCGAGGAGGAGTTTCCCAAAAACTAAGGGAAATTCGGTCCTCCTCCTGCTCCTCCTCATAACATCGATCCTCCTTCTTTTCCTCCCCCTCCTCCCTCAACCTCGTCCTCACAATCATAAGTCATCAGCATCATCATCACCACAATCATTATCATCATCAATACCATCATCATCATCATCATCAGCATCAGCATCATCATCATCATCATCATCATCATCATCATCATCATCATCATCATCACCATCACCATCACCATCACCATCACCATCACCATCATCATCATCATCATCATCATCATCATCATCATCATCATCATCATCATCATCGTCATCATCATCAGCAGCAGCAGCATCAGCATCATCAGCATCAGCATCATCAGCATCATCATCATCAGCATCATCATAATCATCATCATCGTCATCACCATCAGGATCACCATCCTCATCACCAGTTTCACCATCATCACCACCATCATCCTCATCCTCATCCTATCTCATCCTCATCCTCATCCTCATTCTCATCCTCCTCCTCATCACCATCATCATCACCACCATCGTCATCGTCATCATCATCTGCATCTCAATAAGCATCCTCATCATCTTCATCATCGTCATCAGCATTACAATCATCATTACTATTATTATCATCATCATCATCACCATCACCATCACCATCACCATCACCATCATCAATACCATCATCATCAGCATCATCGTCATCATCACCATCATCAATACCACCATCATCATCATCATCATCATCCTCATCATCATCATCATCATCATCATCATCATCATCATCATCATCATCATCATCATCATCATCGCCATCCTCATCATCATAATCATCATCATAATTACCATCACCATCACCATCATCATCAGCAGCACCATCACCAGCATCATCACCATCATCGTCATCATCGTCATCATCATCATCATCGTCACCATCATCACCATCACCATCTTCATCATCATAATCACCATCAGCACCATCACCATCACCAACACCATCATCCTCCTCATCACCATCATCAGCATTAGCATCGTCATCATCATCATCATCACCATCATCAACAACATACTTATCATCATAATCACCCTCCTCATCTTCGTCCTCGTCCTCCTCCTCCTCATCATCATCATCATCGTCATCATCAATGTTATCATCGTCATCATCGTCATCATCGTGGTCATCGTCATTGCCATCACCACCACCACCATCCTCATCCACATCCTCATCCTCATCGTCATCATGATCATCTCGAGTGTACTCCTCCTCTCCGCCGACAGCGACGACAACGGGCCCACCGTGATCTCCCCCACCGTGGCGCGGTCGTCCGGGGGCGGAGGCGCGCGGCGGTCCTGAGCGGGCGTCCACTGTACACCAGCACCGATCCTGGCCTGGCGTCCACTGTACACCAACCCCGATCCTGGCAAGGCCCACCCTGGGCACCCAGGGCGTGCGTTTATCCTGGGTCCAGATGGGCCTGGTATGGCTCAAGCCAATGGGCTCGAGAGCGCTTACCACCGAGGCCACGCACCAAGTTCGGAGAGTCTGGTGCGAGCTCACATTTTGTAGTGTCACGACATACCAGATATTTCAGCCGCGCTGGAGAGAACATCATCAGTATCATCAACACCATCATCATCATCATCATCATCATCATCATCATCATCATCATCATCATCATCATCATCATCATCCTCATCCTCATCCCCATCCTCATCCTCATCCTCATCCTCATCCTCATCCTCATCCTCATCCTCATCATCCTTTCCATCATCATCATAATCATCATCAGCATCATCACCATCATCCTCATCCTCATCCTCATCATCAGCAACATCATCATCATCGATAACATCATCCCCCCGTCCCCGGATTAGAGGAGAGAGTCGGAGCCTCCCGAATGAGAGGGTGACCAGCCCACGCCTTCTGCGGCGCTCGGTGTCGCCTGCAGTGGGAGCGGATCCGCGCCTCGAACAATTCGTCAGGCGCGACTAAACTACCTACTCGATTCTGGGAGTGAGTGTGCACAAAAGCTTCGCACGCGGATGCACAACACACAGCGGCAACAGCTGTCGGCAACTGCTTCAAGAGGAAGAAGAAGGAAACAGGAATAGTGTTGGCACAATCCACAATCGGACCAATACATGTCTTCAGAAGTCCTTGTACATATGGGCATTCGGCATCGTGTTTCAAGTCATCGAGGTCAGTATCGGGGTCTCCAGGAGCACAACCAAAGACGCACCCTCGTGATCTAGTATGGAACCGTGCAATTGTCCAAGTAAAAAGCAAACGTAACCTAACGGAGCCAAACCAACATACATGTTTGTGCGTTTCACCGTATACCTGAATTTACCGACCATTGGAGCAACCTCAAGGGGGCCAGGAACAGTGAGCCACATCGAGATCCTTTGCAGCAGGCCACTTTCGGGGCACGCCTCAAGGTCCACGGGTTCACGGGGGGCGAGCGCCGCAAGGAACCCTCTCTGGAACTTCCTTTTTGGGAAGTTGTCGGGCAACGACGCTGCAATGGCGACGCATTCCTGGCACAAGCTACTTAAAATTATCCCAGTGCGACCCTACCTAGGAGTTGAAGCCTCTAGGAAAACAACATTAGTAGGAGCGGTGAACGCCGTCCTCCTCCTTCTCCTCGTCGTAGTTGTAGCAGTAGCGGTGGTGGTAGTAGTAGTAGTAGTAGTGGTAGTAGTAGTAGTAGTAGTAGTAGTAATAGTAGTAGTAGTAGTAGTAGTAACAGTCATAGTAGTAGTAGTAGTAGTAGTAGTAGTAGTAGTAGTAGTAGTAGTAGTAGTAGTAGTAGTAGTAATAGTAGTAGTAGTAGTAGTAGCAATAGTAGTAGTAGTAGTAGTCGTAGTAGTAGTAGGAGTAGGAGTAGTAGTAGTAGGAGTAGTAGCAGTAGTAGTACTAGTTCTAGTTCTAGTTCTAGTTCTAGTTCTAGTACTAGTACTAGTACTAGTACTTAGTAGTAGTAATCGTAGTAGTAGTAGTTAGTAATAGTAGTAGTAGTAGTAGTAATAGTAGTAGTAGTAGTAGTCGTAGTAGTAGTTAGTAGTAGTAGTAGTCGTAGTCGTTGTAGTCGTCGTAGTAGTAGTAGTGTCGTAGTAGTAGTAGTAGTCGTAGTAGTAGTTGTAGTAGTAGTTAGTAGTAGTACTAGTAGTGGTAGTAGTAGTAGTCAGTAGCTAGTAGTAGTAGTAGTAGTAGTAGTAGTAGAGTAGTAGTAGTAGTAGCTGCAGTAGTAGTAGTAGTAGTAGTAGCAGTAGCAGTAGCAGTAGTAGAGTAGTAGTGTAGCAGTGTAGAGTAGTAGTAGTGTAGTGCAGTAGTATAAGTAGTAGTAGTAGTAGTAGTAGTAGTAGTAGTAGCGCCAGAACCGCCGACGCCACGCCGCAAGTGAAGCAGCAGCAGAAGCAGGCAGCAAGTCGCCGAGACAGCAGCAAAAGCAAGCAGGCACGGATATGAGGGCGGGGCACTGGGGAGTTCTTTACATCTGCATCTGTGCTATGCTGCGCCATGCTATGCTATGCTATGCTGTGCTATGTTATGCTATGCTATGCTATGCTGCGCTATGCTATGCTGCGCTATGATATGTATACTATGCTATGCTATGCTATGTTTTTGTTTTGCCTTCGCTTTTGCCTTCAGCGTTGCCTTTGTTGTTGCTTTTGCTTGGCGCCCAGGGAGCGCAACCGGGGGAACCGCGCGTTTACTTTTACCTTTGCTGTTGCTTTTGCTTGTCTCCCAGGGCACTGGGGGAACCGCCCGGGGCGGCTTGCACTGCCCAGCCCCTTTAAGCCAAGCGAGTAAGAACCCTTCCAGGCAGAGCCTAGGTAGGGAATAAAAAACCACTACACCACCCGCGCATGGCACGAGCAATGCACGCGTCATCCTCCATCCCCGCCCTCGCCCTCCCCATCGAAATTGTGGCCGCCAGCCGAGCCTTCACCATGCTAAGTGTCGGACAGTTGACTGCAGCCCGCAACTGCACTGCTCGCCCGCGGCGGCGCAAGCGCGGGCAACTCGGCAGGGGGACTCAGTGCACTGAGTCAGGAAAGCATGTGCTTCGAATAAGAATACCTCGGAGCAGCTGCGAGCAATTGGAGGCTTGCGTCAAAAGCCTTGTGAACCTCGCGCGTCGGAGAATAGAACTGCATGATGTGCATAAATGCAGACAGGCACGTGGATGAGAACATAAGAAGAGCCATGGCAAGCCCAAGACCCAAATCGCGGAGAGTACGAACCCGTTGTATAAACTTCTCCAAAGCCTCAGGCCACGCGAAGTCGCGCCCATCAGGGCCGATGTCAAACCCAAGGTACTCAGCATGATGGACCACTTGCAGCAATCGGCACTGCCCCCCAAGAGTCCGACGCCGCCCCGCAGACGCAGCACGCTGTACGCACCCGCCAAAACCAACTGGCATTTCGAGAGGTTCAGCCGAAGACCAATGCTAGTGTCGAGGACCCCTACCAGCCCCATGATCGGTGACAGGCTCGCGCATATATCACGGATCCCAAAAAGGAGGTCGTCTGAATATCCAAGCCCACGGTCGATGCGGGAGCTCGCCCGGCGCAGAAGCCAGCGTGGAACCGGGTCGAGTGCAAGCGAGAAATGGCACGTGCTAGCGGGGTCCCTCTGTCGCACCCCTCGTTGGCTGGCAACGCGCTGCAGCCGACGGCCCGCCATCGTCGCAGTTGCGACGTTGTCCGTGCACAGAGCAGCGAAAAAACATATGATAGGAATGGGAATGGCCGCCGCACTGAGCACCATGAGAGTCCAACTGATAAAGAGCGATGGAAAAGGCGGCAGCAAAGCCCGCGAGGAGCATCGCAGAACGCGGCCGTGCAGCCACAGCCATTCCTCCGCCTCAACGAGTCTGCAAGTGACGGTCCTTCCCCCCGCTCCTCCAGACTGACTACTACGCGCCGTGGTCTGCGCAGTCCCGGCGAGCGCATCCCCCGTTCCCAAGGACAAAGCCTTGCGCGAGGTATCTGCGAGCGCCAGTGGTCGCGTCTTGCGCGCATCGCGAACGACTGCGTCGCCCACGTCCGTCGGGCGAGAGCCTTTGGGTAAAAAGGCAAGCAGCGCGTGTCGCATGTCCGAGGGAAAGCCAGTTCGCATCGTGCAAATCGGAGTACACATCGTAAGGGCGTCGGCCGAGGGCCAAATCTGCCAACAACTGCATGGGATTCCGCCAGGACCAGGGGCGGCTTTTCCTTGGCCAAAGCACGCGCAACGCCATGCCGATCGAGCCTCCTTTCGAACGCATCACTGATACCACGAACCGACTGACAGTGCTCAAGAAACTGCCCCCGCATCGTTGCATCCTCATCAGTGGAAGCTGACCTCCCCCAACCCAAAAGCGGGCCACAATCCCACCGAACTCTTCCACGGTGGCGCGCGGGGGGCCGCCCTCCGCAAGAATCCTTCGCAGGCGCGCTCTGTGCCGAAACCAGCGCCAAGTCTGCATCTTAAGCAGCGTGCTAGCAATGGCCTGCTGCCAGCGAGCCTCCTCCTTCTCCTCCTCCGCTGGGATAGCAATGCCCTCCTCGCTTAGCTGAGCCTCCATAGCAGCGCAGTGGCGCCAGCGCGCAATCTCACAAAGGCGCGCAATATCCGCGCGGCACTCGCGGTCAATGTGAAAAAGCGCCAGCACAGGCAGCGCGCGCACAGAACCAAGCACAAGAGCAAAGTTGCCTACCCTCCAGCCACGGAGCGCACGCATAGTCCAGAAGTGCTGCTCCGCTGGGGTCGCTGCAAGCTTGCATGCCGGCTGTTGTTTCGCAGTGCGAACTGATTCCTGCGTGGCACCGTTGGTGGCCTCGAGCCTCCACGCGGGGCCCCAGTCGTCAAGGAGTTGTTGAAGGGCCTCTTTCACGCGGTCGCAGTAGGCAGGGATCTTACTGAGCCAAGCGGGGGCCGCAAGATATTCTATCGGGTCGCACGGCTGGAACGCGACCACCATCGGCAAACAGTCGGAGGGCTCGAAACGCTTCGGCCTACTCCACACCTTCGACTGCATAGCAAGGCCGGACAGCATTGCGCACGGTGGATCCGCGTAAATCCGATCGAGCCTCGAGGCGCGAGCATTCCCATCATTCCCCCACCCATGCCTTGTCGGAGCAGGCTGGTAAAGCTCAGCCCAACCCCCCGCGTTGGACACCAAAATACGCAGTGTGCCATCGGTCCCCAGGTTCCCAATTCCCACCATCGTCAGCCCCCCCTCCTCCTCCAAAGCGAATTCCAATCTCCCCCGATCACGTTGAAGCGCGGCGCGGCCCTCGGGCGCGAGTCGCACATCTCGCTGGGCACCTGCCGACGCAAAGGTCGCCTATGGCATGCGTGGGGCACGCCTACGTTTACTACACATAGTGAGCCGAGAGGACCGTCGCACCGAGATTGTGGCACCCGCCTTTCTCTCAAGGTCCGATACCGGATAGGACGGCACGGAGTCGCTACGTAGCTCGCTGCTAATTACCGCGATCGCGCCACCAGCCGCAGCCGACGCACACGTCGAGCACCGATGTCGCTCCCACGCAACTGCTAACGAAGGCACTCCACATCCCCCTCGTGCCCGTGACATTCCTGAGCACACACAATGTCATGCCGTTCACACAAATGCAAAAAATGCGATACCGCTGCTTCGTAAATTCCCTTCCGTTCCGCGCGGACGCAAAGAGAGCAACAACAATCCACGTGACCATCGAGAAAAGAAGAGTGGGGCGAGGCGGAAAATCGTAACATCCGTACTGTCGTAACTGTCTAGGCTGTCAGGCCCGTCATCACCTGAATCTGCGGAGGAGGAGGGAGCGGAGGGGGAGAGCTGCAAAGAAACAACAGAACGTGAGTTCTGCTCGTTGCGGCCACAACGGCTGCGCGACTGCTAAATGGGACGCCTCATTGTCACCTGTGTGGCCTCAAGCAGATTCGCTTTCTCCGACATGACGCCACATCCGGCCAGCGTCGAATCTTCGAACTCCATTTGTATGTCACTGGTGCCTTCCACCACCGAGATGTGTGCACATTGAACAGGGTCCTCATTAACACGAAGAATGTACACATCACCACCGAGGCCGTTGGAGCCTACGGTGTGTTTCCCATGGAGGATACTGTCGAACTTCTGGCGCAGCTTCCCCATCGCAAGGAAGAGACGGCGGTCCTTCAGCGCGAGGTCCCTCCAAACCTTGAGCGTGACATGGCCACCCTTTGGATCAGGAAACTGCGTGCTGCCCTCTATCTTCTGGAAGTTGCCAAGATCGAAAGCCGCCGACGCATTGGGGAATTCGAAAATTGTTTTCCTATTGAGGTCGAGGGCCTTGATGATCACGGTGTTCTGCACGTGCTGCGGGACGGAACGATGGCGCACAACCTCTGCGGCACGCCGAAGTGTAGTCTGCATCAGCGGGCGACTAAAGCCGAGCAACACCAAACGCGCAGCACCTTCCTGCTGAGCAGAACAGAAAGAACTGGATCCCGAACCCTTCCCTGTAGATCGCGTCGAGTTGGGGCTCACAGCCTGTCGCCGCCTAGTTGGCCGGCCACCATCAGCAGGTACATCATTGAGCTGCGCTCCCAGCTTGTGAACCATCTCCTCGAGCGTCTGAAGCTTCACCTGGCGCTCCACTTCCGCTGAGATGTCGGCCATCGAGTCCTCCTTTCCTTGGTACTGCTCCATACTGACCTCCAAGATGTCGACTCGTGCGGCCAGCTGGTTGTAATCCTCTCTCATCGCCGTGACCGACGTCGTAAGCTCCTGCTGTATCGACGAGAGATTCGTGTCCATCCCCGTGACCGAAGCTAGAATCGTGCGAGCCCACTCTGGCGCCACTTCCGCCGCCATGACTGCGCTCCGTGTGCGAACAAAACTTGGGACGTGGCAGAAGCCGGAGGGCCTTTCCCTCCAAGCTGCTCGAGCAGATGCCACGGACACCGCCAAAGCTAATCGCTGATTCTCGGGCGTCTATAGCCCTTCACAACGTTTGGCCTTGAGCCAAAATGGCTACGGATCATCATCATCATCATCATCATCATCATCATCATCATCATCATCATCATCACCACCATCATCATCATCATCACCATCATCATCATCATCATCATCATCATCATCATCATCATCACCATCACCATCACCATCACCATCACCATCATGATCATCATCATCGTCATCGTCATCATCATCGTCATCATCATCATCATCATCATCACCACCATCGTCATCGTCATCGCCATCATCATCATCATCATCATCATCATCATCATCATCATCATCATCATCATCATCATCGGCATCATCGGCATCAGCATCAGCATCAGCATCAGCACCATCATCAGCAGCATCAAACATCATCAGCAGCAGCAGCAACAGCAACAGCAACAGCAACAACAGCAGCAACTGCATAGCCGGAGCCGGCCCAGGATCGGTGCACACGCCCTCCGCAGACACCCGCTCCTGCAGGTCAGACTTCTGACGGTGCTGTTTGATACCTCAGCGTCGCTGACGGTCAGACTTCTGACGGGCCCGCAGGAGCCAAGGCTCTCAAACGGCCGTGGGCTACTGGCTCCGCTGGGGATCGGGAGCGGACAAGAGGGGGGTGTCCAAGAGGGGGGGGTGCAAATCATGACCGGCGGCATGTTCTCGGCCCAGCGGGGGGGCCAGGGACGTAATGGAATAAGAAGAGGCGCCATGAAATCTGGGGAAATATCATGGCCCCCGCCATGATATCCCCCCCCCCCTAGTCATCACCCACCTCTTTTCCGCCCCCGAGGGGAGGCGCTCGGCTGCAGCCCTCCGACAGCGCAGGCCCTTCGATGTCGGCGCAGCTCTGGCACCCCGCGGCCCTCAACCTCACACCCCCGCACGGGGGTCGCCGCCACGGCACCGCGGCGCGCGCCCCTCGAACACACCCATCCTGGGATGGGCCATCGCTCGGACGTCCATTCCCTGTGCTTTCGTGCGCGGTTTTTTCGCCAAATGATCAAGGATGCTCCTCGATGGCCCTCGCCCAAGGAAAAATGCACACGTCCGAGCGATGCCAAGACGCGGCGCGAACCCCTCGAACACACCCATCCTGGGATGGGCCTGGCCAAACACCAGCCTTTTACGACCCTCGATCGTGTCCGTGATCGGCCCCGCCCTGCCCCCGGCGGGTCACGTCACGATTCGCGCCGGCGCCGTCTGTGAACGAGCCATTCGTGGGCGCATCCCCAAACGGCCGGCGCGAATGGTGACATGACCGGCTCCCTCCGCCCCCCACACTCACGCCCGTCATCGCCACGGGAATGGAGAGAACGGGCTCCAGGATCGGTGCACGTGTGTGTGTGTGTGTCTGTCTGTCTGTCTGTCTGTCTGTCTGTCTGTCTGTCTGTCTGTCTGTCTGTCTGTCTGTCTGCCTGTCTGTCGGTCTGTCTGTCTGTCTGTCTGTCTGTCTGCCTGTCTGTCTGTCTGTCTATCTGCCTGCCTGTCTGTGTGTCTAGCTGGCGCCCCCCGACGTCCGGCATTGGGGGCGTGCTCGGCTTCTGCTCCCGCGGCTTGGGGCGCACCTTTCGGG